GAGCGTGGCCACGCGGGCACAGAGACCTCTCGGCCACGTCCCCCCGGCGCAGCCCAGCACGCACACGGCTGCGGAGGGACCTCACCGGGTCGGGGACAAACACCCTCACCGAGTCACCTCCCGCCTCCCCGCGAGCAACAGGCTGAGGGACTCCCAGCACCCAGAAAACTGCAGCTGCCTCAGAGCAGGTAGAACCCCGGTAAAACAAGCCCTTTCTGTTACAGAACAAATGGGTAAGGACCAAGGCAGAGAACCTCACTGAGCTTCCAGCGTGATGCTCAGGAAGCCACTAACCACGGCGAGGCTGCATGAACCCTCCTGGAGCAGGTCCTTGCCCTTGGCCACCTCCCCCTGCAGTCTGGGTGACCCAATCATCCTTCCTGGTCTAAACAGCGAAGATAACATTTTTATTTAATTTTAATTCTGTAGAGGAGGGAGTAGGAAGTGTATAGGACTGGACTGCATGCACCAGTCTGCCGTGAATGTTAGCAGTAGATGGGAACAAAGACAACTTACCCTGCCACAACCCAACATTAACTCAGTATTCAAAACGGATTTTGAAATGAAACCTTTAAGGGATCCATAGGACAGGGCAGCAGACCTTAACTCTCCAAAAAGAGCCACGTGAGCCGAAGGGCTTTGTTTGGGCTCATGCTCATTAGAAAACCTGCTCCAAAGAAATCAGAAATTATATTTATTTCTAAAAAACAATTTCTGAAAGCCAAGGAGGATGGAAAGTAGGAATCCAAAGGAGACTCCTGCACTCCCTGGGACAGCAAGTCTTCCACGCAACAGCTCCCACAAAAAGCAACACAGGGCAGCAGGAGCCCGACACGAGTACTATCAGCATCTCATAGCACATGGCTCAAACGAAACGCCTGGATCAAGCACAAGCTACTCCACTGAGTGCAAGCAGGAAGAGCGTCTAATTTACACCATTCACAAGGGGCAACCAGCTCCGGAGGTTTGTTACACAGCCCAGAGGGAGCAGCTGATTTCATCTTCAACTTGGAAACAAAAGTTTGTTTGCTGCTCTGCCTGGGAAGGCGACAAAGGAAAGTTCTCTGCCATGTGCTGACCTCTATAAGAGGCTGAAAAGAGGCACATGTGTCATTAAATCCAAGATACACTTCTGACACGGAGCCCTCCCGAGACCAGCGGCTGCTCCATTTGCTCCCTCCGGCTTTGCCCCAGGCTGCACCACTACCAGTCTGGCAGATAACTACACACTGGG